CTGTTCAGTCCTCCGAGGAGGCTGCCAGATAATAACTTCCATGTTTGCTTTCCATATGTTGGGTCTGCTGGAGTATCGGCCTGGTACGAGACGTCTGCTCTGAATATGACGATAATCGTAGCGTGACAAAGGAGTGCTAGGTGCCGAATGAAGCACGCATCATCTGTATGTGAGAATGCTAAGTCCAGAACTGATGGAGCATGCTAGTGATCATATCTGGTTGGTGTCCTAATGTACCGTATAAGGGCTAAGGGAATTGAAGTTTCCACGAACCTGTGGTCAAGAGAATTACGTGATGCTCTTGTTATCAGTCTATCTCAGTCAACAGATGGTGCGTTGAAGTCTCCTATAACTAGACATCTGCATTTCCCCGTCGAGGGGGTCCGCCTATTCCGGGGGGAAGTCTGCTACTTCACATTCAGGACTTCAATATACCGCGATTGTCTTGACGTCTCATCCCTTGCAGCGCAGTGTTTCACATGTCACGCTCTTATGTGCCACGGTTTTTGTGGCCTTTACAATCAACGTATTTCTAGCGTGCAGGATGACATCACTATCCTTGCGTACAGACCTGTCACTTCCGAAAGGGACAAATCCTCTTAAGTGTGTAACACAGTCACTGATCCAAGAAGGGAGCCGAGTTTCTGACATGGCAAAGACGTCAGAGCTTTAATTGCTTATCACTTTACTAGGCTCAGTCCACTTGTTTAAGAGACTACGTGCATTTGTGTACAAGCCAACAAAACTATTTAAACGGTTATCCGTCCTACCCGTGGAGGCTCCGGCGTCACCAGTTGCCAAAACCTCACTACACGAAGACCCACTACTTTCAGATATTACTCTCCTGCTGCAAATCCGGATCTTAGTTCTACTTCTGCTTCACGTTCTTTTATTCGATCAGCGAGGGCCAGATCCTTTCGCATCAACAATAAAAAACTTCGAAGTCTGTTAGCATTCTTCAGAATCTGATTTTTGTCATCTGCTGAATTCAACGAGACTTTAGGCACCCGAAACTTATGCATCGAGAAAGTATTTCCAATGAACCTGGACAAATACATATTTGCTGATTTGTTTACGAAATTCGGTTAAGAACCGTAAATCAAATTAACTAAAAGGCCATATAATTGTCAGTTGTATGCAGTCCGTTTCCTTAATTAGTCCCCCTAATGGTAATTGCAGCTGCGCTGCGGCCTCTCCCCTTTCTCACTAAATTTTTCCCCATAAATCTACTTCTCCTGCGTTTCCCTTCTTTACACCTTTCGCAAACGGCATATCCATCAATTGCAACGCTATGCTACGCATCATCACAAGGCACAGCATAGAATGACAATCAACTCTCTACCTCAACCTCATCGATTTTGAAAAGGCCTTCGACAGCGTCGACTGAGAAGTAATTTGGCAGGCAGCTGCTTCAACACTACGGTTTCAGTGCCACAAACCTTTACCAACCTCATTCAACAGCTATATGCTATATGAGGATGCTCTATCCCAAGTGATTCACAATGGAAAGCTCGGTGACGCCTTTGAAGTGAAGACAGGAGTAAGACAAGACAAGGTTACCACCTACTATCACCGATGATCTTCCTGATTGTGGTCGACTGGACTGGATCATACAGCAAACCGTGAGGAGCGAGAAGAGGAGCATACGCTGGCCCGGGGAAAAGATCCTAGAGGATTTGGATTTCGCCGATGACTTGTGTCCAATGTCACACAGACTTGAAGATCTACATGTGAAAACTAACAAGTTGACAGAAGAGGCGAGGCAGCGAAGACGGGACTGCAAGTGAACGTAGAGAAGACAGTGGTGATGAAGATACCCAACCAACAATAACAGGTGCCAATCACAGTTAACTGGCGAAACCTAAAGGAAGTAGTATCTTTCACCTACCTAGGAAGTGTCGTCTCAACTGCAGGCGGTGACAGAAGCACAGATGAGGATATCAAAGCCAGGATCGGAAAAGCAAAACAGGTCTTCATTAATCTGAAATCGGTGTGGAGATCTTCTGCACTACACTCAGCATAAAGAACAAGATCCGGGTTTTCAAGTGTGTTACTATATGATGCTTGAGAGACTTGGTGAGTTACGAAAAGCATTCCCAACAAACTACAGAGATTCATCAACAACTGCCGCCTACGCTCACTCGATACTGAAGATCAGATGGCCAGAAGAATAAGCAACAAGGAACTCTGGCTAACAGAGAACCAACCAAGAAGCTATCGTCCAACAAATATGCGGAAGGAAGTGGAGATGGATTGGGCATACACTGGGAAGACCACCTGGGGATATCACGCCTCGGGTCAGGCCCTCGAGTGAAATCCAGAGCGGAAACGATGAGTTGGGCGTCCCAGGTGAGGGTAACATGGAGGAGATCATGTGAGGAAGAAATGATAGCTTGTGGGCAGTCGTAAAGCCAGGTTCAGGTACAACAAAGCGAACTAGGTGGCGATGAACCGGTACCTGTCGACAGCACCATGGCCCCAGGAATGGAGCAACCTGTCGACTGATCAACATTGGGAACTAGACAGAGATATCATCAAGACAGCTGTCTCTGAAAACGTCCCAGTAATCACAGCAATACGTGGAAGCGAGGCACTGAACACCTTTCGAAAACTATGACGAAAGTATGGCATGATTGGAGGACCTCCAGAAAAGAGTCTGACCACACCGTGTATATTGCCCTAAGAAATCGATGTAACATTAGAGTAAGGGGAGAAAGGAGGTCATTCCAGACGAACCTCGCCTAAAAGCTGGAGGCGAACCCAAAAACCTATATCGGTTTATGGCAGTCAGAAAATCCACCAGCCAGAGGGCTTGCGTCCTGAAAGGCCTAGACGGAGAGAACCTCTCCGGACTAGAGATCGTCGGGGCCTTTAGCACCACCTTCGATAAGCAACTCAATACGTCCCTGTCAAACCAAAATTACCAACTGTCCAACCAACATTCATCACCGTCAAATGTAGTAGAGTTACCTGGAATAAAGGTAACTCCTGCTTTGGTCCTCGAAAGCTGTCAAAGCTCCGCCCAGGGAAATCACCAAAGTGTGATGACATCCGACCGGCTGTGTTGAATCAATGAGCACGTGCCTTGTGCGGTCCGCTGTGTAACTTGTTTCAACACTTCCTGGACAATCACATGCTTCCACCGAAGTGGAAAAGTGCTATTCTGCCCCCCATCTTCAAAGGTGGAGACAGGTAGAACTCAAAATGCTACCGGCCCATGGCCCTCCTACCAGTGGCTTCAAAAGTAATAGAGAGTCTGGTAGACGACCATGTCAGGAAGTACTTAGAAAAGAGGGAGCACTTAGTGATGCTCAACATGCTTTCAGAAAGGGCAGGTCCTGTGCCACAAACATTCTGGCTGCAGGTGATTAGTGGACGGCATGCTGGGACCTCCGAATTGCTGTCCATGTTATTGCCCTGGACTTTACTAAGGTCTTCCACACAGTTCCACACACCGTTCTTATTCCAAAAATTGCGAGGTACAAGAGCTTTCATGGTTACAGGACTATCTAGACGGTAGACAACTCGGCACAAAAGCCAACAGAGTTCGCTCGACTTGGAGGACATCGTCATCTGGTGTGTCACCAATGCTAACTGAAAAACTAGACACTAGCTCCAATTATCCGGGAGATGCCTCCAGAGCCTACGCAGTACTGTACTTCATGCGCAGACAGCTGGGTGCCCTGACCCCGGAACTCTTTTTGAAGCTGTACAAGACCTGACTACCACCACATCTAGAGGTGCACAACGTCATTGCACCACCATATCTGAAAAGAGACGTGAAACTCCTAGAGAAAGTCCAAAGGCGAGCTACAGAGGGTGTCGTGGGAATGAGGCGAAGACCGTATCAGAACAGGCTGAAAGATCTAGGGCTCTACTCCCTAAGCTACCGTAGATTACCTGGGGACTTGATAACGGCTTACAAAATACTAAGTAACCCAAGTCATCCGAACAGTGGAATCCTACCGAACAGCCACCATGGCAATCCTCGTGGTAACCCAAGGAGAATCGCCCACCAAAGGGCGAGAACTGATGTACGATCACACTTCTCTCTGCGAGTTTGCGGCCACTGGAACGCATTGCCTGCCGAGATTGCTACTGCTCCGCCTGTTGACAGCTTCAAGAAGAGGTTGGACATTTACGCAGCGACGCACGGTTTGCTCTCATCCAGCTGGGATGTGGACTAGGCTGACATGACTTACTAACTCAGTACGACCAACCGTTACTGAACATTTTGTAAAACCACTATCACTGAGATCTTAGCTCAACCTTATACCTTCCTGTAGACATCCCCTCCAGTTACTTTCTCCTACTAAAATAATTACTGTACTCCCATTCGTCCTATCATGTTATTTATTATTCCTCCTTCTGACGTTACTCTCTCAAACTTTAACGAAAGCTCTCCCTACAATTATTCCTCATGAACCTACCAATGTTTCTTCTTCATGCCCCTTCCTTTTTCCCAATCTTCTATTAATTTTCTTCCTTTTTTCCTTTTCTTTTTCTGTTTTGTCCTTCTTTGCACTTTCTCTCCCTTGATTTCTCTGCACATATTTTCCATCTCCTTTTTACAACCAGTCCTACCAATTGTCTGCTGGTACGACATTTGAGGAACCCATCTGCATCACAGTCCTTGGAAGAGAAAACAAACAATTCCTACAAATCTAACCAACACCCAACAGCCCGTTGGGCCAGCCAGAGCTACAGCAGCCGAGTGAGTAGACCTACTGCATTGGAATCCACCAAAGACCTGGGACCGTTTCGTAAGACCTAGAAGCGAGCGCGAAGAAATCATTTGGTTTACTCTAGCTCGTTAGAAGATATTGGATATTGGATTAGCGGTGCCTTCGCTCCAACCAACCTGCAAATATCTGAGCCGTATATCTAGAGTGTACAAGTATTTGAACACAGGCTTCCTCGTAGCAATGCTTGTGTATGACGGGGTCCGGACGTTTAGAAGTCCATATGGTCTTGGACGTTGTATGGCCTATATAAGGTCACTGGTAAGCCAATCACAAAGACAATGGTCAGAAATTCGAAGTTAGTCCCCCTTGTGGTCGCTCCGTTTCTATGTGGTGACTCTGTAAAATATCCCGAAAATTAGATATTTACAGAGCGAAATAAGCTTGAGAGTTTCTCTTAACAGTAAACGTGTGGTCGTCTGGACAACTTCCCACTCTGACGTTCAGCGGCGCGCTCCTTGAATGGTGACGTGTTTTCGATCGTCTCTCAGCTTTTGGGTTTTTCCACATCGAAAAGTTCCCACTTGCAATACTCAATCTAAAAAGAAATTGAACGTTTTCAGCACTCCTGTCCCTGCATGCATTTCACCGATGTGTATTCGTAAACCCACTTCTCAACAGTTGGAAATTGGCATTATTATTCCTTTAAACTAACCGGTCTGCCTCTTGTCATTGGTTCTTGGGTGTTTCAACTGCCAAACTGCCTTAGCTCTCGTTTCCCTCGGAGGTCGTTCCCCAGGAAGCATTTTTCCTGGTTATGCATACACATCTGGAGCTTACGGTGAAACTCGTTGATCAAGAGCTGAGGAGCAAGTGACAAGTGTCTAAAGGTAAGCCAACGTAAATTGTCCTCTTTTATATATTCTATCCTCTCACTACATTCAGTCTTCAACCCCTCTTCTTGCTGTCAGCTATTTGTTTTCCAAAGAAGTTTATATTATAGTGACATCTCTGCCCAAAACGCTAGATCCGAAGCTTTGACACGGATAACGCTGTCGTGCACAAAAAGGAACAATAGCGCCCGAAACCACACTCTAGTCTGTACCCACAGACAAACAGAGGTAGGGCAGAACACCGAACTTCTAAAGAAGTGGCCAACTTATGTTGATAGAATTCCAGTCGCCATCAGACAGGTGACGCAGAGTAGCACTAGCCCGTCACAAACTAGTCCTACCTTGGGCAAGGATCACACCATGCCTGAAAATAGGAGACAATGTAAAAGGCTGCAGAACAAGGCAGCCACAAGTGGTTCATTACAATCCGTAGCACTTTCTTCATGGAAAGAAGGCTGTATTACGACACCCGATGGCTCCAGTGTTTGCACTAAAGTTGTTTCGGTATTTGGTGAGGCATTTGCATGCAACCTATGTCACCAATGAGCGCATCGCCACTGCGACACCAAATTCCCCCGACAATACTATAAGCTGATGAAGAGACAACCATGCAAGTGGTTCTGGTACATCTGTCCAGAGTGCAGGAAGCTGTCAGCACTCCTCACAGACAGCCTGAAAGAGATGCTGTCCGGCATGCAAAAGCTATCAATATCCTCGAATGAAGTAGGGTTAACACCAAAGGATAACACAGAGGGACCTGGAAATGGAACTAGAGCTCCAGATGCTAGCATGCCACCGCGTGCGGGGACCAAATTAGGTCGTCTCCGCACCTCCTACTCCGCCTCAGAGAACATCAAGCGCATGGCTAAAGACACTGATCGCTGGACTCTACAAAACCCACCCCAAACATCTCACACACCGTGACTGAGAAACAACCAGTAGAAATACACAACAAACCCATTGGAAAGTCGGGCGTGCCACCCACAACGAACCCTGGTCACAGGAAGGCTAACTCGATCATCTTTTTCAACGTCGATGTATCGACAGACTCATTGTTGGTCGAGAGGGAACGGTTTGACGGCCGAATGTAGACTGACTACTGTCGGATGCTGGAAATCCCTCCCCTCCATGTAACACTGTGTCGCCTTTCTCGCGGAAGCCGGGCACCCCGAGATAAGCCACCCCCTTTACGTGTGTCCTTGAACACTGCCAAAGAGGCCGAAGACACCCTCTTGCGACAACCGGACGTTGTCAATGCCTGCAAAATTCGGGCCAGGCCTGACAAGCCATGGTCAATAAGCGAGGAGGAGAGGAAGTCAGCGGTTGGAAATCCCAATAGAAACAACACTATAGTTGTACATGGGATTCTAGAATTGCCAAGTGACCGCTCGGTTAAAGATCGGTACTTTCACGACGTCCAACAATGCAATGGCTCTCAACCAAAGTTAGTCTCCACAGTATACCGGCCAACAGCGTCAGTAGACTACCAAGGCCGGCGCATCTAAAGTCCATACCCACTCCCAGACTGCTCGCCGTCCAGTTCGACTCACATGCCTCCATCACAGATGTTCTACATGCATGGTATAATGCGAAAGATCGCATGGGTGGCTCAATACGCATGTGTGAAAGTAAGCCTGGACCTGCGAGGCAAGAGGAGGGACGGCAACCACCAAGACCTCTGGAGTCAGTGGTCGTCACACAGGCGCTGACCAATGAGTCAGATACATTGAGTAAAGAAGCTCTAACTATCACAGCCTCCACCCAAGTTGAAAATAAAGCGCAAAAAAACGGAACGATTCCGGTCGTATGGGGACTGGCGACGCTAGACCCAACCACGTAAGCGCTCATCCCGCGAAAATACACAACCAGCCCTCCCCTCTCACCAGGCACACTCTAACGTGTATGTACAGCAACGTTAGGGGGCTAAGAGGGAAGGTAGCAGAAATGAGGACGCTGCGTGAACGTCAGCACTCCGACATCATATTCATCACCGAATCCTGGCTCTCGCCAGACATCTCCGACGAAGAGATGCATGTTACTGGCATGGAACTCTTCCGCAGGGACAGGGAACATAGAGCAGGAGGGAGAGTGGCTCTCTACGTAAACTCCGTTTAAAGGCAAGGATGGTTAGCGATACGGCCTTAACCCAGCTCCCAGAGTCTCTATGGTGCTACTTCACTCTCCACAGTACCAAATACCTGCTCGGAGTCATATATCGGTCCCCCACCAGCTCCCCTACACATAAGGAAATGATCATCAAGGCTATCTTAACGACTTCCTCTGCAAATTACGATTCCGTAGTCATTGCCGGCGACTTCAACACCCCGTCCATCCTCTTCGAGACGGAAGGGAGACGCATCAGATCCTTCAATCAGAAGCTGAAGGATGCAATTAAGACTGCTGGCCTCTCAGAGAAAGTGGGTGATGCTACACGCTGGGGACCTAACGGAAACGCATCGCGCCTTGACTACGTTCTGACGAACGATGAACTTCTCATTGAGGATGTTTGCATCCAACCTCCCCTTGGCCTCAGTGACCACGCTGTAATCACCTTCTCCATGATAACTAGGGAGGCTCTGCAACTGGAGACGCCCAACACCTTCCCTTGCTACAGCAAGGCCAACTATGAGACCATGAGGGACTACCTCATGAATGCATCATGGCCAGTGGACTGGACTCATCTCACAATAGATGAACACTGGTTGGAGGTGAAGAAAATAATCACTGGGGCCATCAGTCACAGTGTACCAGAAGTAACACACAGACAATCAATGAGAACCTCATGGTTAAAGCGTGGGACAGAGAGGCTTATCCGGAGCAAGAAGCAGGCTTGGTTCAAGTGGCGTACATCACGCAGGGAGTCTGACTTCTTGAACTACAAAAGGATTCGCAACCTCTGTAACATTAGAGTGCGTAACGACAGATTTTCCTACCAAACAAACTTGGCGGAGAGGTTACAAAGCAACCCCAAAAACTTGTACCGCTTCATGTCGAGAAGAAAGTCGACCAGTGAATCTTGTCACAGGCCATGACGGGAGTGTACTAAGCAGTCTAGAGATTGCCGAGCTTTTGAGCTCACACTTCCAAGCCCAACTCAGCACTGACACAAGATCCACACCGACTCGCTACGACACCGACCAGGTCGTAAATAACGAATACCTCTGTCACGTCTCTATTACAGAGAAAAAGGTGTTCGAGAAGCTATCTAGGCTACGTCCGGGCAAGTCCCCTGGCTGCGATAACCTAAAACCAGTGGTTCTGAAAAACTGCGCCGAGGTGCTTACCAAACCACTTCGCAACCTCTTTGAGCACTCAATAGACTCGTGCAAACTCCCTAAAGAATGGAAGAGTGCCATCTTGTCACCCATCTTCAAGGGAGGAGACAAAAAACCCTGGCAGCTACAGGCCAATTGCCCTACTCCCTATTGTGTCGAAAGTGTTGGAAAGCCTGGTAGCTGACACCATCTGGGAATTCCTCAATAGGGAAAACACTGTCCACACTGCTCAGCACGGCTTTCGTAGTGGTCGCTCATGTGCCACCAACTTACTAACCGCCTGGGACGACTGGACACAAAGCTGGGATAATAGAAAACCTGTACATGTATTTCTCGACCTAGCCAAAGCATTTGACAGTGTCCCACCCACAGTACTGCTTCACAAGATCATGTCAGCTGGTATAAGTGGACCCCTACTCTCTTGGTTCAAGGAGTACCTGGAAGGGAGGCAGTTCTGCACCAAAGTAGGGTCGGGAGTATCCCAAGGAGCAATCCTAGGACCGCTTCTGTTCCTCTTGTTTGTCAACGATCTGCCAGACAAAATATCCTCACCCATCCTCCTCTTCGCTGACGACATAAAAATTTGGAGGGTGGTAAACGAAGAAGCTGACTGTACAGCACTACAAAAGGACTTGCAGCAACTCGAGCTCTGGTCGTCGGAAAATGGCCTGAGCTTCAACTGGAAAAGTGCAAAGTAATGCACATCAGTAAAAATGAGGCAAGTACGACCGACTTCCAGTACATGTTGAGCAACCGTGCTATCACCAGAGTGTCCATGGAGAAAGATTTGGGGCTCAACTTCTCCGACACCTTGGACACCAGCTCCAACTACAAAGGTATGACAACCAGAGCGAACGCCATTCTACACTTTCTGCGTAGACAGCTTGGCGCCCTCACTCCCGAACTCTTCCTCACCATTTTCAAATCCTACGTGCGGCCGCATCTAGAGGTCTTCAATACGGTGGCTCCTCCAACACTCGAGAGAGACTCATCTCCTTGAAAGAATACAAAGAACTGCAACAAAATCAGTTGTGGGGCTAAGGGGAAAGACGTATCCTGAAAGACTTAAACACCTCAACCTATTTACCTTGGGTTATCGCAGGAAAAGGGGTGACCTCATTATGGCATACAAGATCGCCCATCAGGCAGACCATGCAAACAAATCAATTTTGCCTGCAACTCAACGATCTTCACGAGGAAACCCCATTAAGATAGCACACCAGAGAGCCAACACCACACTCAGGTCCAAATTTTTCTCCCTGAGAGTATGTGCTTTATGGAATGCCTTACCGCGACACATCGTTATAGCCCCTCAGTCGACTCATTCAAGAGGCGATTAGACAGTTATGTCACCTCGCATGGACTACCACGGACGTACTCAGGTAGTCACCAACCTCACTAGCCCCCAACTCCCTCCTAACTACCACCCACAATCTCTCCTTAATACACCCACATTACCCACTAATACTTCTGTAGGAACTAACCCCACGCTACCATCAGGGCAATTCTCACATACTTTGCTCTCTTTTTTGTTCCTCTTTTTCACCCCTCCTTTTCCTTTTCTTCTTCCCGTATTTTCTTTTTTTTCCCATTCTTTTCATTTCTTACCACTACCTTACTATTCTCTTTCAGGTACCTACACAAACAAGAGTCACGACAGTCCCCTGAACATCCCAGCAACCTGTAGCTCCCCAATCACTACAAATTACAACTTACTAACCCACAAAACATCCACCTCACCGAAGCTAAAAGTAAGAAAGCAAAGGGGATTTCCTTGTTCACTGCAGTAGTGAACCGAGCAACTCGAACCAAGCCCTAAGAACTAGACTCGAGAGACCAAAAACTGTCAATTTTCTGCACTCGCACTATCAATATTGGATATTGGTAGCGTGAAATTCGCTCAAAAATTACGCAAATCTGAGTCAGTCTTCAATGCAGTTCATCATAATCAGGTACGTATATTTAAGAGTATAGTTTATTCTTCGAAGAATACTGAAAGTACTAGTGTTTCATGGTTCAAAACGTTTTGTGTCATTTCCACACTGTGCTTAAGATATTGAGGATCACTGTAGTAATCCTATATATACTATGCATAGTAATCCTAGTTTCGACTAGGACACAAATTAAGTGCACGCAAAATATAGTCAGCTAACAAGCTGAGGCTTCATCTGACTGTCTTTACCTTGCGAAACCCTGGAGGTGCTTTTCTTTCCTTGGTTTTAAATATTGTTTCTACGTAATGACTTTGCCTAAAGTGTTAGACAACTTGAAGCTGGAATTTTGTTGAGTGATATGTGAAGGGCTCGTCTCATAGAAGGAGCCCCAACCAATACTCACGGGCTGTTGTTCTAACTAGAACGGAAAAGACCAACAGTTTGTTTCCAATCTTCGACATACTACACATATGGGTCCTGTCAGTATTCATGTGAAGCTGTATATTGCTTGCGTAAACTCTTGATTTCAAATCGATGGGTCACACCATGCCTCACCCCATATGTCGAGGTTTTGGTAGTCAAGCAGCTTCATGAGTTCTCACAGCAGGTGTGGTTCATTGTCTACTGCGCGAATTAACACAAAGTATCTAAGTGGGTTACACTCTCTTTTTCTTGATTCACCAGTATTCGTACGATATCTTTGATACTTTCTTATCGACGGTTGTCAGATGCTGCATCGTCAACAACTTGAATGGAGTTTTCCCTTTAACTTGGCAACATTATTCCTCGGTAGTCGTTCTCTAAACCTTCAGGAGACAGCACTTTACGCTTTTTGCAAACGTCACACTCAAGAAAAGTGAGCATGTTTAAGCGATCCAACAACTTAATTTATCTTTTAAAATAATCATTCTTAATGTAATTCTCGCTACATGGGTGACTGTGAATATTTTCATTGTGCTAAGCTTACGAGTTTGATCCACACTACATCCTCAGAAACCGTATTCACAACAAAACTTTCGTTTGGACATGTCAATGAGGTTTAAATGACGCGTGTAGATAAACACCTTCGCTGTCTTGGTACATTTAATTTCAAAACTCCTTATGAATTGTTGAACCTGTGTCCGACTCCAATCTTTATATAATGTCCCCCGAAACACTGTCACTTTCCTTATTATTTCGAACATTGCTGATCCACTAGCATCAGACGGCATAACAATAGGAGGCTACACGAATTTTTCGACTGGGATGTATCGACAAAAAATCGACATATTCGAAAGCAGCAAGAAGAATGTTCTATATCAGAGCAATTAAACAAAATTCGAACCATAAGGTCGATGTTAAGTATATTAATGAATATAATATGAAGTGTCTGCTACAAATTTGTTCAGCATCTTAGTGTTCACAGCTTCTACTCAGTCTCTGCAAAGATAAATCTGACAAACATGCTTTCAGTTTGCATCGGTAAGTGTACACGAATTTCGCTAAAGATTCGTCAAACAGAATTATATTTATCTTGTCTACTGTTGTACATCTAACGCAGATTTTGTGAATGCAATAGGTATGTGCACTGTAGGGAAATAGTGGCTACAAAGTAGTTCATAAAAAACTGACTTGGAATTTGATGTCTTTAAAGCAGTCATCATCCTCGTAACTCCCTTAATTACTTCTCTCTTTTCTTTCGTGATCATCTGGTCTTTGGATGACCTTGAAGATTATTCACCAGAAGTTTAGTTCATGTTCTGAATATGCTCATGTGAATCTCTCGGTTGTTGGTGAGGTGAAGGCAACTGCTCATTTTTATTTACCCTGTACTTCACCATGTATCACCCGAAAATGACCCTAACTCGTTGGTCTGCAGGATAGATTAAAGACTTGGCTCATCGAAAGACAAAGTAATGAAATGTTTATCCTTCGAAAAATGAACCTATATTTTCCACATACTCAACACAAACAGCTGTCGTTTGTCAAGAATGTGAGACTTCTAGTAAAGATGGATTTGAAGTAACTCAGTTGAAATTCGAGTTTTCCATCATATCTGAATTTTCTGGGTGTTTATCAACGTTATTCATTACTTCTTTGTTTTGATTAATATGCATATCAAGCCACCCTAGTTTTGCGTATTTGTATCTAACTTTTCAGTTTTGTTGATATGCACATGCTTTTTACTAGACATGATTGTTGTCTGATCTCACCGTTGTAGGTGGCACGTTTTTATTGCCTTCGGATAATTGTGTGGAGTGTGATAGCGACAGGTGATGCTATATTGCGTGGTTGGGTGTAGGATTTAAGGAATTGTCCTGGTGCGAACTTGACAGACGCAGCGGCTAATCACTAATTATTCAAACTTGTTATATACCCACAAATACGAAACCGAGAAAGAACACAACAGCGTAGTCGGATGAAATAGTATATTTGCGAGGTCGTGCCGAAATACCGATGCGTTCCAACTAACTGGTTAGAGGGTCGACTACGAGCAGTGCAATGTAACACGTCAGCGTGCCAAATGGAGAGGATGCTTGACCGGGTGTTTTTAGCTTAGGAAGTCCAGTTAGACTATCAAGTTCAGCATCAATGTTGAACCCCATCGCGCCCTGGGGAATCGATTCTGGAGAAGTGTGTGACAATACAGGATCAACTATGTACAAGTTGCGCAACGAAATTGATTACCGTTAAGTGCACAACGTATTTGTTCATCTGTTTCCACCTTGATTCAAGAGGATATGAAGTGTTCAGGACAGCTTTGATGAGCGTGCATGGGTTAATTCTGAAGACCGTGGTTCAACGAACGATGAGGTCGCCCGAGTAATGAGAGGTCTGATTGTCTTGTTCACAGAAGTACATAAGTTGGTTTCCCACTTGAATCTCACTCAAGCCTCTGTTTAGCAAGTTTGACTTTGCGATAAACACAGTAATGTGAAGGTGGATACCATCGATACAAAAACAGATTGAGCTGGAACCGTCGAGGTCACCAAACAAAGCAGGTGCGATAGATATTAAAGCCTGAAAAGAAAAGAACATTTCATTCATGGCTCTGAATAAACTCTGCTAGTCAGATGCTAAAGAGCAAGTTACTGATGACCCCCATGGAACTAATAGAAAACTCAACACTCCAGTCGCTGATATTTTCAAGAGAGAGAAGTGAATAGTTGTCAGCAAAAATGATGAACGGCGTACACCGAATACTACTTCTTCAGGTTGTACTAGGTTACCTGAAGAACCATGGAATCGGCTTTTGTTTCAATTGTTTACAGTCGTTGTCGTCGATCTGACAATGGGACCTGACTGCCTGTTGAAACATATGATGGTTAAAGGCAAACGCGAAGCGGTTACAGTTTTTTCAACCTCAGATGTCTTCTTGCAGCGGAACCACCGTGTAAGCAGTGTCAAATCTTATTTCAGCAAGTCGGTTGAATTTGGCAGCCTTCACTGAATAAGACGGATTAAACATTCACTAAGTAACTTAGTCACTGTCTATCTTGATGTATTATTTTACCGGAAGTAAGGGTTTGTTGGAAGAAGACCAAGATATGGTCTTAGTCCTCAAAGTTTTAGCCTCATGGGGATATTTAAGCTGCTTGACTGGAGTCCTCGAGATGACAGGAATCATTTGTGAAAGACTCTTAGTGATACTGCTAAAAATCGGTCACAATGGCACAAAAGTCTTGAGTTCTTCCATTTATAACCATCTATTTATTCTTTCTTCTCTCATAAATGTTTGCCTGCATGAATGATACTCTTTCTATCCACTTCTTCTTTGTGCGTTGCTGTGATGTTTGACTTGAACTGGTGTACTTATGTGCCAGGTTCCACGTTGGTCTTTTGTGTTTGTTGATTTGGAAGTATCTGCCAAAATACACTGGAGTTTGTAACATTTATATGGCTGTCACATGCGCTGTTTTTGGTAGCATACTGGGAGTTGTGCTGCTTGTCTTCAGAACTTGAGGCATTGACGTGTTTTCATAACTGCATGCAGTTACGTAATTGACGCACTCTTATTATCCGTATGGGCGAGATGTGTTGATAAGTCTTGCAGTTGTAACTCATTAATGACCATTTCAACCTGCGTAGATGTGCTTGAAGTGATGTATGATCGCTTTCGAAGCATGTTTCAGAAAGGTCGACCGACCCTCTTTAACGGTAGCTGATAGCAAATTGGTGTTTCTGTGTCCACAGTTGGATTTATTTTGATGGATGTTATGTAAAGCAACGTCTCTTTGTAATTGAATTTCGTGCTGGCCAGAAATAAGTAGTCGTATGAACACATTTTCAACAGACGATCAAGGTTATTTGTTCGTTTGGTGAGTTTTCCGAACGTTCGCCATAAGTTTCTTTCTGCCTAGCTTAGTCTTCTTACTTTGTATTGAAATCACTCCCTACGGCTAGACAGTTTTCGGCAGAAGACTCATTTTTCTGTTTCTTCAAACTTCAATCAACGGGTGCATAATCAGATATAACTGGTAGACTAAGGAGAGTTTCACCATCCGTTTTAATCTCCACTGAACCATTCAGTTAAGCAGTGTATAGGTGACTATCAGCTGGTATCTGGTCAATTCATGTGCTTTCTTGTGTTAGACATTGTCATACCTATACCTTTGACAACTTGTTGAGAAACCTCGAGCAACTCAGAGTGACTTTTGCAGACTCGAACATTTAGGTGGGTAAAGTTTATTTAGTTGCCACAACTGGATCCTAAATAGGTATCACACGCAGAAAACATCCATTGCAGAAGATGCTGAAGTTTTGGCTGGCGAATCGACTAGTCTTTTGTCCTCTAGCACTTCCTGATGCGACAACTATTACATTTTGACTGTATGGAAGTGTAAGCATGTTATTTTTCTGCGTTCTCTGTTTTGCTGAACATACCGGTTTATGCTAATTTTTTCATTTAATTCACACTTTTTAGTAATGTTTAGGCCAAGTGAAAGTTCAAGCGCATTATCTAATTCATCCCACGCACAAGCATCAAAGATTTTGGTAACAAAACGTTCTTGGCAGGCAGACTTTATTTGGGCCAGGTTTCCTGCAAAACAGAACGGTCATGTAACGTACGTTTTCTCTGCACCACTTTTTATGATTTCAATTTCACGTGATGCGAGAGTAGGTTTCTTTCAATACACCAGTAATGGTTTTATAACTACAAACATGGAAGCATTTATTTTGGTGGAAACAATTTTTGATTCATAACTATACTTCGAAAATTTTAAAAAACACTTTTAATGATACAAAAGAGTGGGTAGACAATAGAGAAAACAAAAAGTTTTGGTTGCCAGCAACAACCACACTGCATCGATAAAAAGTATTGGATCTTGTGAATGACTGTAAATTTATGATAAGTGTTACTAGCGTATGATGTGATCATTTTGTACGCATACAGTAAGAAGTGAGATTCCTTTACTGGTTATAATTAGAATTATAAACACTTCAGTACATTACATGTACCAGGAAAATACGGTGATCACTAGCAATTAATTCGTATCTGTTCAGTGAGTGTTGATACACATGAAAGGTTCCTATCAATCTTAAGAGCTTTTATATTCTGTGTTAATAAAATTTGGCTAATTTTTGAACAGTATTTTGTCAGACTCGTTTTCGAACAAAGTAAAATCAACAGTTTTGGCAGAATGGAATGATATCGTTTCATTTCAACGTTTTTCATCAGTCACTTAACAACTTCCAATTTAATATCCAGTCGACTAGAAATTTGCTCAATGAAGTCGATTTCTCTGGAAAAGTTCCTTTGAGAAAGATTGCTCATTAGCGAAACAATAATATATCTAACCACGTAGTGTCGTTAGTCCTTCCATCTTAAATATCGTCAGACTGTCCGGGTCAACAAGTTGCAGTAAAAAAACCTGAATAAATTCGGTGAATAAGTGTTCTTCCATCTGATATTAGGTTCCCGACTGATAGATGAGACCTTAACCTACTGGTCGGGCTTGTATATCACAATGACCCAACCAGCTGTGCTGATGGAACCCTCGACCCCTTCAGGTCCTACCCTACTGGAAAGATCATTTGGATAGTTGTAAGACGAAAAGCAGTTACTTTTGTAGTGTGAATTGCTACGCTTTGATAATGTTCCTAGGGTGAAGTGGTACTACTGGCTGGCTGACCGGTGTGTGTGTGACAACTCATATAAGGTGACATAACTATAAAAGTCAAATGTCGAAAGTAGTATGATCATATTGATATGATTATGAGCAATAATTTATGCTCGAAACGTCATGAAGTGAATAATACCAGATCACTGTGTGTTATAAATCAAATAAAAAATCTAATATGGAATTAAATTCTACCACAATGCCCAAGTTTTACACCTATATTAACAACAGTAAGGTGTTTCCCGTGGGATGACCAGCAGTGCTACGCTGACGTTGCCTTCCCTTTTGGAAGATGTTAGAAAAGGTCACCTCTAAAAGAAGCACACGCCTCTTTTACTCCGTAGCACACCGGTGTTGGCGATGCAGGTTTATGTTCGTATTTTCCAAAAACAAACTAAATTCTCAAAAAGACCGTATATGACCGGCCTCAAGTAGATGTCCCTTGCGCTCTGCGGCTACGCACAAAGGCTTTTTTTCAGGTACCCTAAGAAGAACTGACCTTCCACTATGTGACCCGGCGACCGACACCTCCCATATTTCTTGACCTGAAGTTGGCATTTGACTCTATCAACCCATTGTCACCGTTCCTGTATAACTTACTTATAGACGTACTAAAAACATAACCTTAGATAATTCTGACTTCACAGGGCTCGATCTACTCCCTGGAAGTCATCCGGTTGATTTGGAGTATACAGAAAATATTGTCCTATTAGGTGAGGATGCTGACAAAATACAGGGTCTTCTGACGACATATATGAGTATGTTTGGTCGGCATTCGTTTCACACCCTTCAAATGCAAGATGATGCCCCAGGAAATGGTTTTCAACCACTCCCAGTTTAATGATAGGAAGTAAAGTAGTGGAATGTGTTGACCGTTCCATGTACTTATGGAACTGTATCAGCCAGAACGGGCTAGCTATGACGAAATCTCAGCTCGGATAAAGAAGGCCCATTCGTCATTTTCCAACTTGTTTATCACTTGTGGCGCCGGCGAGATATCCGACTATTTACCAAAGGACTGCTATACTGCGCTGCAGTCCATTCTTTCCTGTTTTACGGCTGTGAGACATGGCCGTTAAATGAGAAGATATGAAGCGGTTACAGGTTTTCGATTACAGGTGTTTCCTGTTGGTATGGCTGAGAAACGGTCACAGTGGCACAGATGTATCCCCTGTTTGACGTCTTCTAAAGCCTGAATGTTTGCACTAACCGCCACCTTCAAATTGTTTATTCTTTCACACAACTTTGTCTACTTTGATATCACTCTTTTTCTATCCACCTGTTCTTTGTATACCACTGTGGAGTGTGGCAAGATGGACCGATGCACTTGTGTGTGAGGTTCCATGTTGATTTTATCTGTCTCTGTCCATAATGTGGACAGCCAGGAAGTGTCAGTCGTCCTCACAACTCTGTCGGCACTGAATTTCCCTCAGATCATTACCAACCTTCCACATCCTTACCTTCTAATCTTCATTCAAGTCTCTTGGTCAATATTCCTACATTATCCTAAATTTCTCCCAGTTTCGCAGCTCTTGATAACAATCTAATTTCACGGAAAAGTATTCCTGTCCTTCTTAAATTGTACGTCCGACTACGTGTTAGAGCTTTCAATGTCCGGATCCTCCATCGAATCGACCAAAAGGCTTTGTGGCAAAAATTCTGGTGTCTCGCACCATGGATATGTGTTGTGTTTCTGAAAGACGCATGTAAGATGCGAGTGGGATTATTTGCTTAACCTCACTCGGCCAATATGGTGAATGCTCAGAATTTGCCCTCCGAGTTTCTAGAGATTCGATGACTAGTCCTTGTGGTCTTGTAGGTGTAGGCGTAACTTTGAGTCCTGTGACAGAAAGTGGACTGCTGGAATGGATCCCAGTTGACATTTGCCAATGCACTGTTTGCCTAGGTGTCACAGTGAGAACCAAAAAGAACAGTGAAACTCGCCGTTGTCTTTTTGGAATCTCTACTTACATATCTACTGGCTGCAGTTCGGATGAAGTAAGGGACGAAAACGGTCTGGTCTCCTACTGAAATCCAGAGGTTGAGGATTGGTTTTTGTTGCAGGTGATTTCAATGTTCGTGTGCATCAGGCAGAAAAGCACTTAGGTGGCACTTTTGGAATCGCATGTGAGCGAGCACAGGGGCGATCGCTCACTAGAAATATTCTTAGATAACTACTTACATCTGGCGAGCACAAACTTTGGACATGGAGGAAGACATTGTGTCCACCGACCTCAACTCAGCGGTGGACATGGACAGACCATATTTCTATCAGTTGTCGCTGAAGAGGGTCGGTGGGAGATTGCCACTCCTCCTGGAGTACATGTTTAGATAGTGATCACGCGCTGATTCCAATACACGCATATCTACATCTGAATGGACGCAGGAAAACTGCAGCAGCAAAACCAGACCGTTGTAAATGCTGCTTGACGATGATAATACTAAGACTGCTTTTAGCAAGGAAGTGGCTGTGTAGAACAATATCGCTCATCCGAAGAAGCTTGGTGCTATTTTTAGTCTGCTGTTAGAATAGTATTGAATCAGCCAGACTCTAGGTTCTTTAATCATCAGATGTCCTTAGTGAAGCTAGGAAACAGAAATTTCGAGGAAACTAGGTGGTACCCAGACCTGGCTTTGAGTGTATCTTCCAGACATTCACATTCTACCAGGTTATGAAACTACGGCATACTTACCGTCATCCGAGACTGAATGTATTTGTCGGTCTTTGACTCTGTTGATCCAGAAGTCTTATGGCAGTGTCTCTCACTGAATGAGATACCAACTAAGTACATCACTTTGTTGAAGGTATTGTACTCGAACATTTGTGGGCGTGCTAGCGTCTATGCTGAGTTGTGTACGTTGAGTGTTGTTCGTTAGGAATGTTTTTTGTCTAATGCTTTATTCAGCCTTATAATAAACGTACTCATGCAGGTCTTCCTCTAGTCATCTGACTCTACAAGGATTGGTCTTATGATAAGAGAACTCTTTGTACATGTAGAGTACGCAGATTACATATTCCTGTTAGCTGATGAGGTGTAGAGTCTTTTGGACACGTTGAGTGGCAAATTGAGAATGCTTGTAATGCTTTCCTTACCACCCGAATGTAAAGTGTTACTCCAAGACTGGTGTTAGCTGGTACTTTGTGCAACGGTAGGGAGTGGAGTGGTTGAGTGCATTGACTATTTCAATTATTTTGGAAGTCGTATGAACCCTGATGGGTCAGTGACCGACAAGATTTCTGCACGAATTCATAAAATTCGGTTGGTTTCGGCGAAGTTATGGGGTTTATGTCGCCAGTGTGATATCTGATTGTCTAGTAGGGGTTGGATGTACTGTGTTGCAGTTGGCTGCATTTTTGAAACGTGTCCAGTTAAGGTAGATGACGTGAGAAGGCACCGTTGCCCTCATAGCACAGGTCTTGTGTCGTAGTGGCATTATGTCAGTGACATAGAAGTTAGGTGTAGAGGTTTAAGCAGATGAAGTAAGTCAGTTGGTGATGTTTTGAACCTCCGTTTATCCAGATGTCTTGGACATGTGTCATGCATGTCTGGTTACCTTCTATCATGTCTCAGAATGTTAGGTGAAGTCGTTTCATTTTTTTATTACATGGTGCAAATTCATCGGAGGGGCGAATTGTTCTAAAGTAGTTCCAGGTTATGAAAGAGGGTAGTAGTAGCCAGACTAAACGTGATATGATTGTATGAGTTCTTTGACTGCTTCTTGGTGCATAAGTCTGGTTTTAATTTTTGTTTTACAAGTGGATCAGCGATGCTAGGTGCGCGTTTCTTCACATGCTTTGAGTGACTGAGTTGTATTTTATATACTGCGGAGCTATATCCACTGCTGCCGATGTATTATAAGATGGAACTTTTTATTAGTTTGCATTTATCTTGATGTAACCCTACTGGACATTGTGTCTCCGCGTATCACCTACGTATCTAACTGTACAGAAGCAACTCAATAACCCATTCCATTTTAGATTTGTTGATTTGATATTTGGCGCACAGTGATACAGTAAATTATACTGTATCACTTTGCGCTATATATTAAACAAACAAATCTAATATGGAGCTAAACTCTATCACAGTGCCCAAGTTTTTCACTTATATCATAACCTATTGGTTGACGTCCTGACATTTAAGGCCACGGACACCTGGTTTGAGTCTCACTGAGAAGCATCACCACATAATCCCAAGTGCATCCAGTTGATGAGACGCTTACTGCTTTGAAAAACAAAGAAAAACTGCTGGAAAAATTACTTCATTTAATAAAATTTTCACTTTATTGTTGGTCATTAAGTTGTACCAGTTTCACTTTTAGTAATAAACTGACTGCTGGCATTATTTTATTTTAGCAATAATTTAACGGCGACTGTAAACGAGACAGAACCACATACTGTGTACATTGGGGATACTGTAGATAGTCTAACATTTCCAAGATCGGATTTCGTTGATGAGCCATGTTGTTCTCTTTCTACTTCGAATACAAATATCCCGCCCCACTTTACACATCCTGAATGGGCGGAAGATGTAAAGTTAACTAAATTTCTCAAAGTTCATGGATTTCGTTGGTATCAGGTTGTAATATTTCTCATTTCTATTGTGAGTTATCTCGCAGATGTGGCATCTGACGCATACTTGGTTTACACTTATTATGTACAGGTTAGTATTATCATTTCGCTCAACTTTATTTGCTTTACCTTGGTCCTCTGTTGCTCTGATATGTAATTTATAGGTTTCTTCTGAAAGGCACAAAGTAGTTTTCATCACGACTTCTCATCAAAACCTCAAAAAATCCATCAGTATGCAAATCACTGAGAAGGGAATTCCATTGGTGGCTTTTCCGATCGATTGACTTCAAAGTTTTTTTCACCACGGGTTGGGATCAGTTGAAGAACGATTAAACACATGAAGGGGGGGACTCAATTATAGTACACTATGTCACAATTTGGCATTATTAGGAAGATGTGAACCATTGGATTCCGACCCAGTGGTTGAACGATGATGTCACCACAAAACCTGATGGTTACGGGCTTACACCCTGGAGAAGTCATAGGTGCGCACTGCTGAAACTTCCTAAAGTAGGACGGAACAGCTATCAAGTTCTTTCAAGTTTTTAATTGGCTCTCCAACTGATGTCCTTAATGAGAACCTCGGCAAACCACTATTTGAAATCCAAATTAATTGTCAATGTGGTATTTCTGGAAATTTAGTTCTGTGAGATCTCTGGATCGAAAACTCGAGATTTGGCCAGAATGTGGTAGTGTAATAGCAATTAAATTTAAAAACCTTAAATCGTGATGTGTTCAAATGTTTTATTATGCAGTGCAAATGTGGTACGTTGGCAACAAGTTTCGGGTTCACCTTGCATACCCACTACTTCGGCTTAGAAAACCGGGTAGTTTCGTAATTCGTCACACATCGTGTGGCTCATAGCCTAGCCTATGATCGGATCATATAAACCCATAAAATGTGGTTAAAGTTTATGTTTTCAACCTTCATAACAGTAGTGATTATTCCATCTATCCATTCATTCATTCATCCTAATCAACATAGGACCAGGATTACTGCGCAACCGTCCGAGTTGCCACAGCCCATATCAGTACATCAAATAAGAGGTTAGTGAAGTAGAAGATAAAGAAGAGAAAACCCAGTCGAAAGAAATATAAAGTACTAAAAGAGAGAAAGGAAGAATGAGAAAATAGTGAAATTCGGTATAGCGTTAAGATGAGGATAATGTGTGTATACATCTGCACCACTGATATCGGTTCTAAACCACATCACCTAGAGTCTCCAAACACTGATTCCTCTTGTCCGGCAGACCCCAACCGACTAGTCTGCATCGCCTCACATGGCTAAAACCAACAGTCAAACACTGCATACATTGGTGCCATGTTTTGGTCTGGCCGCCTCGGGCCCTTTACCAGTCTGAACCTGCTTCGGCCAACATTGTATGACGAGGCGATCGGTGACCAGGCATATGTAACACATGTCCCAACCATTTCAGTCGATGAGGGTTCACAACCTCGTCAACTGACTTACCTTTTCTCCCTAAAACTCTACGCCTGACTTCTGCGTTACTCACGTGGTGACATCACGGAATACGGCTTATAGTACTAAGGCAACGGTGGTCAAACACCTGAAGCCAGACTTCTCATGTCTTCCACCTTCAATAACAATGTTTCACAGTCATAGGGTAGAACAGAGAGAACTGCTATGCAGTACACGCGACCATTACTACACAATCGGATATCACGGCGGCGCCATAGTTGGTGCAAGTTGGCAAAAGCCAGCTGAGACTTTTGTGTTCGTGCATAGATTTCATCGGCCACTGAGCCAACAGGGCTGGTCCTACTTCCCAGGTAGGTGAAGTGGTCGACACATTCAACCACTACACTCTACTGTTAGGCATGGCACTGTTGAAGACCAATCCTGGAGCAACCATTCGCATTTGGGTGGTGAGAAGCGCATCCGAAACATTCTGAAATCGCCACTCAAAGTGTTCAGAAGACTGCATCTTGTCAGCGTGTTCACCTAACAGGACTATGTCATCTGCGGATAACAGGTCTAACGAAAATTCTCCTGCAATCAGACAACGTCTGTATAGTCAGGTGACGAGAGGGAGACCCTCCATAAGAATATCTATGGTAAAATTGAACAAGAATGGAGACAGTAGGCATCCTTGACGGACACCACTCGACGAGTACAGCTCCCCGAATATCTCACCATAGGCTCTAACACACCCACAAGTGTTCGAGGAGGGAATCTTCAATAAGGTGATGTGCTTACTCGGCACACCTTTCGGTGAGAGACATTTCCATAAGACGTATCGATCAATGGAGTCGAAATGCCCCTTCAGGTCGAGAAATACAGCTATCGTCATGCGTCGGAAAGCGTGCCTGTGTTCCAGAACCTGGCGCAGTGTGAATATTTGGTCGATAAACCTGGGGCTGGGTTTAAAGCCTGCCTGGTTTTCTCAGGCTTGCTGTTCTCGAGCTCCAACCAGGCGTCGAAAAATTGTAGAACCTAGGATCTTAGACACTATGTTTGTCAGTCTGATTCCTCTGTGGTTACCACAAGACGACTTTTCGCCCTTCTTGAAGACTGGAATAATCAGTGATTCAGACCAGTCAGAGGGGATCGTATTTGATTCCCATATACTAGCTAACATTTCCGTTAACCTGACTAAGAGCACTTCACCATCATTCTTGTATACCTCAGCAGGTAGTCCGTCTGGTCCTGCTGCCCTCCCTCGTTTCAGGTTACCTACCGCTTTCTCAACTTCTAGTTTTGGGGGGCCTACCTCTATGTCTCATTCAGGATTCGACTAGATTGCGGGCAACGCAATGGTGGCTGGTGGCCCATCGTTCCAGTCGTCTCCCCTGAGAGTGAATCACATCTGTCCTTCTCCGCTATAGCCTCACTGACCGCAGTTGACCTTTCTTCCCCCCCCCACTCTCCTTAATAAGTTTAAATGACTGTCTACTGTTACCAATCGTTGCTGCCTTTTCCATCTCTTAAGCCTTCGCTGCCCTCCATCGTTTGTTATCGTTGCGTAGGCTTTTTCTGAATCTACTTTAAGTTGCGCCCACTCTTCATTGTGCTCAGAGCCTGTGAGGATGCGTTCACGTCATCCATTATTTCGGAAGAAGTTGGTGATATCTACTGGTTTGTTTTTAGCCACTCTTTCGGAGTCGACTACGGTCTTCAGCGCTGCTTTTACAGCAGACTGTAGACGGCACCAAACTTCTTCTGGATGAGTGATAGTCTTTTGTTCCGATAACTGCCTAGCCAACTTCTCACTGAACACGGCTTTGGTGTTTTCGTTGTCGAGCTGCACTTGTAGTGTTTTTGTTGCCAAATTATGTTTACGTCCCTTGAGACGCAGGCGCATATGCACTCGGACCAACGTGTGATCGCTATCCAAACACGTACTCCAGAAGGAGCGGCAGTCTTCCATTGATCCTCTCCAGTGATGACTAAGAGCAATGCTGTCTATCTATGTCCATCGCTGAGTTGAGCTCGGTGGACACTACGTCAGACAGTGTCTTTCTTTATGCCTGAAATTTGTGCTGGCTAAAAATGGGCGGTTATCTGAGCATAGTTGTAGTAGGCGATCACCGTTATCTGCACGTTCAACCGGGACTCTGAAAGTGCCACCTAAGTGCCTTTCTGCCTCACTCAGTCTACCCACTTGTGCATTGAAGTCACCTGCGACAACCACCACTTCTGGACGTTTGACCTTCTTGAGGAGGCTAGACAGTTTTCGGTAGAACCCGTCCTTCACTGCATCCGAACTACGGTCAGTGGGTGTGTAAGCAGAGATTCCTATTCCTTTTAGTTCTCACTGTGCCGTTCAGTCGGATAGTGCAGAGGCTTCTATCAATTGGGATCCAGTCTAGTAGTGTTTTCTGCCCTAGTGCTTATGCTATGCCTACATCTGCCAGACCGCGAGGGCTAGCTATCGGATCTCCAGAAACTGGAAGGGTGGATTTTGCGGAGTCACCAGATTGGCTGGGAGAGGTTAGGTGAATAACCGCACTTGGGTCCTGTATGCGAGTCTCACAAAGAGAGCACACATCCATGCCCCGAGTTGCTAGTCTTTGCCAACGAAGCCTGTTGACCAATTTGACGGAGGGTGCGGACATCGAAGACCCTGATGTGTAATTTGGAGCGTGGTTTAAGGAGACTAAGGATGCTGTTCTGTGGACTCAGATCGTTTTCAAAGGCTGGGCTCTAGGAGGAATTGAAGATGTAGTATTGTTGGTTGGGAGACGTGAAGGAAGATTAGGAGGTAATGAGGGGGGAGGTGGATAGCAGTCTGAGGAGACTTGAGTGCTGACAGAGTTGTGAGGGCGGCTGATACTTCTCGGTTGCCCACACCGTGGAAGGCTATTTCTTCTTAAAGTACCTGAAAGAGATCTGTGTGACTGCAGAGCCCATCGGACATCTGCTTGAGGCCTGCCACACACAGCCTTTTGTGTATGGTTGTTTTGAACTTTTGTGATTTTGGAGCCGAATGGTCGAAAAGAAATGACAATGAACCAACACCGCCAGCCCGGCAAACCGTGGAGTATGGTGGAGTGTGTTACTTTTTGAGCCGACTTTTTCTAACTCCCCCCCCCTTCCACCGAGAAGGCAGCATCAACATGGCACTGCGGGTCATCCAAGAGAAACACCTTACTGCTGTCACACCCGATCCAGCTAGTAGCAGTACGACTTCGCCCTCAGACCCACATCATAGTGTAGTAATTTACACCACAACGGTAACTGCTTTTCGCCTAACTGCTATCCAACCTATCTTCCTGGTATGGCAGGACCTCGATGAGACAAGTGTTCCACCAGCATAGCTCGTTGGGTCATTGTGATATGCAAGCCTGACCACCATGTCAAGGTAGCAGCTATCGGTGAGTTTTGATCAATTTTCTCTAGCATGAGGAAAGCATTCATTGAGAGATATGGATGCCAGAAGATTTAGATAGCCAGAACAATTTGTGAAATTTAGACAAACATGTGAGTAGCACTAGATCGAGTAAAATTGCACGTGATTGAGAGTTCCAACACATTGTGTTAGTGTATTAAGTGTTAGTCAATAAAGCAGAGAAATCTCACGACAATAGTAATATCTGTGATGATGAGAAATAATCTTTCACTACCTGTTAGGACTCTAGTATTTTCTCACCAACAATTATTGCCTGGGGTCCGTCACAGATGTCTACTCTGTTCACTTCCATATTACTTTATAGTAAATATGCGTGAACATATCTCTCCCTCTCTCTTATATGGCTTTACAGGAACTGTTCTCCTTGCAGATTTCTATTTTTACACAGCTTGTGCAGATAATGTCTTGTTAGGTAAAAATTATGAAGAGATGCATGGTTTCTTTAATAATTTGAGTAGTAATTTGTGAAAATATGTGGGATATGTTCCTCAACTTATTGCAAATTTTCGCTCCAGCGTTAATGCCTCCTCTCAATAGAAAATGAAGTACTCGGCCCGCTGACCACTTTACTTACTTGGGAATCCATGCCAACCGCGATGGGTCGGTGGCGGATCGTATTTCGACACGGATATAGGAGGTCAACAATACATAGATTCGATATTTTCAGTATTAGCACTATGTTCGGCGTACAATACATCGCGCATTTCGGTGTGAATATCTGAGTTTGCATGGTAAAGCAGTTGAATTTTATTGTGTAGTCTTACTTTATTACATCATTCTTTCCTGGGATTGTGTAGTTTTGCAGACACTGAGTTTCACTTTACATCTTAGAGAATTCTTAAAAACATTTCATCCAGATTATTCAGAAATTACTGGGTCTAATCTAAAAAGAAAGTCAACAGGGGAAAATGAAAATTGCAGTGTTGAAGATCAAATCGACAAGTTTTAACTTTGTGACGGGACAGTTTCAGAATTCATCAGAATTCATCTCTGGTAGCCAAAACAAGCTACTTAATCTTGGTGGGAAACTGCCAGTTTATTTTTTCCGAAAGTTTCACGAATGATATCTGGTTATATAATGTAGGCTACATTGTCGAACTATTTGGTTAAGGAAAAATTACGCCTGCAAAACAGCAAAAAAAGTGAATTAATCTGGCTTTGCAGTCTGATTTTAGGTGTCAGCTGGAAAAAAATACTTGTTCGTGTGCATCTTGGCATTCATCTAGAAAATGTGTCTGTCAGTCTAGCTAAGTAAGATACCAGCATGTATTAGGAAAGTATTTGTACGAACTTCCTTGAACCACACATGTTCGTTGCATAAACAGTGTAATTTTTCACAGCTGGTTTTATGTGTTACGCTAGTATTTGTCCAGATAGTTCTTAGTGTGTCAAGGTTGCAGGTTGTCTTTCGAAGTTTCATTTCTAAGTACCACATTAGTTTTCATTACAGCGATTTAATTAATTAATTGGATCGTTTATTGAAAGGTGGCACTATGCTCACATTTTTGTCTGCATTTGAATTCAGTTATATTTTAATGCTATCATCGAGTTTTCTAGTTTACTACTGAGAAGTTAATTTCCCACAGTATGGCGAAAAGTTTCGGAATCCCAGTGATGTTTCTGAGCTTCTTTGACCGTATTTTCTAGGTGGCTTTTTCAGTTTTCTGGCAGGAAACAATATCCTAATATACTGATAAGGTGCTTACTGATGTCAGCCTGTAAAGAGTTGCAGTTGTGGTTTAAATGGAAATTTCTACTTTTATGCGCCTTGGATAATGAAACACCTTTGTAACTGTTTTACTTTTTGATTGACTAATTCCTAAGCAATCACATTTTCGAAAAGACCGTTAGTATATATCATCAGCCAATTGTCTTCCTTTCTGCTAAACTTTGACCTGAGTTGTTTTGACTTACTGTTGCAGGAAGATTATTACTGGTCTGCTTTAACGATGATACTTATGATTGTTCCAGCTCTCCTAATGTCAACTTTCAGTCTGACCTGGTACTTTATAGATTATAAAGTTCGAGTCGATCCTCCACGTAGCTGTCGGACGTGGGCTTTCAGACTGCTTCTCCATGGTCTTCAACTGGCTCCTTTAGTGCGGTATGTTTTGCTAAATTTGCACAATTTAAATTTTCATTTGGTTGAACTTGTTTTCATCTTGAAAAGCATTTCATCTGTTAACAAGCATCTATTCAATATTAAAATATATGACTTTTATGTTCTGAAAGGACTGAACCCAAGTAGGTAATAAGCAATATGCTTTCTGCTTCCTGTTACATCAATACACGCATAGTAGTTAGTCAAAATTTCCGTACTGATTCAATTTTAAAAGAAATTTGAAGAAAAAAGGATATCCTTCTAAATAACTTCGCGTCCATATTGAGTAATTTTGCGTCAACAATATTGAAATTTCGTTTAGTAGTTCACGGATAATATTATACAGTTTGGGAACCCTCTTCAGAAAATAACTGATTATGTAAATTATACTGCTTATGTAACACTAGAAGACAAACATGAGTCATGTTCACTTCGATGGTGAAAGTTATACGCATAGAAAGGGCGAATAAAATGTGCTGAAGTGTGAATATGAAATCGGATAAACGAAGTTTCATAAAGCGAGGGTGTGCACGGAAGTGAGATAAGACAAACAAAAATAGTTTGAGGAATACCTGCTTAGTAAACTTGCCATATTTCTTAACCTGAAGTCGGCATTCGACTCTATCGAACGTGAGGTCTTGTGGCAGTGTCTCACTGTGAAGGGAGTACCGACGAAGTATATAATGCTTATCAAAGCTCTCTACTTGAACTAATGTACCTGTGTTAGAGCTTATGAAGAGTTGTTATCTGCATTAACAATAATCAGTGATATCGTCAAGGATGCCAGTTGTCACTGCTCCTGTTCAATTTCATTATAGACGTATTAATAGACATAACCTTTGGTACATTGACTTCAAAAAGATCTACTCCCTCGAGGTTATCTGACTGACTTGGAGTGCACAGAATATATTGTCCTGCTAGGTGAAAACACAATCTTTCAAACGCCCTGAGTAGAAATCTGAGTATTTGGGGTATGTGTTTCTCACCTGTCAAATGTTTGGTGATGCTCCAGGACGGGTCTGCAACTACTTTCAGTTTACTGATAGGTAGGAAATAAAGTCGTGGGACACATCGATCACTTTATTTATTCCGGGAGTTGCATCACCCTGAATACGACGGTTGCTCGCGAAATCTCAGCTGGGATACGGAAGGCCTATTTGTAATTCGTCAAATTGCGTCAACTCTAGCACCGACTGGCGAGAAATCCGACTAGCTACTAAAGGGCTAGCATATTGCACTGTGATATGTTCTACCCTGTTATACGGCTGTGATACATGACCGTTAAAAGTAGACGATATGTAGAGTCTACAAGTCTTTAACCATAACTGTCTTCTTAACATTACTCGCGCATGGTGGAATCACCATGTGAACATTATTGAGGTTAGGTGAAGGATACTAAACGACGAAGAGAAGGGGGTTGCTGGGGTTGTGAACCTTCAGAGAATGAGGCTGCTTTGACATATGTTACGCATGCTGAGTCACTGCCTAGCTACGTTCATTGCTAGGCGAAGTTGGAGAAGGTTCAGGATGGACAGACTGAGTCGGCCCCAATTTCTGACTGTTGGTGTGAACCGCATGGGAAGGTTCAGACTGTCTGTTTGGGTTCCCTAAAGTAATCGGAATCAGTGGTTAGAGACCCCCGCAACGTTGCAGATGTATCGCCTTTTTGACGTCTTCTAGATCTTGAATATTTGCACTAACTTTAATCGTCATATTGTTTATTCTCTCATATACCTTTGTTTACCTTGATACCAATATTTTTCTATCTACTTGTTCTTCCAATGTTGCTGTGAAGTGTCATAGCTTGAACTGATGTCCTTGTGTTAGAGGTCCTACGTTGATTTTGTCTGTCTGATTAGCCTAATAAAATGTTACCCATCTTAAGGAACAACCTCGCCTGGTTAACTAGTTCACTAGTTACTAGCCGGTCCTAAGCCCGCATAAAGAGGAAGGTTGGACATAGTGCTAGTAACCCTAACCCGTAAAACCAATTCAACCGCTAAAGAAACTCCGAAGAACAAACAAAATATAAAAAAATAAAAACAAACTTGTTCCTAGCTGGAATCAGAGAGACGAAATGACGCTGGTTGATGAAACCCTTCGGGAAGCCAATTGGCCGATGTGTCTTCTCTGGATGAAAGCGAAACTGAACGTGGAGACATGAAATATCCGATCAATGTATGAACCCAGAAAGGCTACCCAGATTGCCAAAGAGATGAGAAGGTATGGCATAGAAGTGCTTGGAATCTGCGGAAGCAGATGGAGTAGAACTCGGCTCTCCAAACTGTCAGCTGGAGAATCAATAGCCTTAGTGACCGTCGTAAATGCATTGGTTGTTTACTGAAGGGTAACCAATTTCATGATCGCATTCTATCGATCAATTCGCGATATAGCCTCCGGTATTCGATCAGCACTTAAGACTAGACTACATGAAATTGGTTACCGTTCCGTAGCCAATCAACCTCGCCTGATTAACTAGTTACTATTCGGTCCCAAGCCTGGCTAAAGAGGGAAGGTTGGGCATAGTGCTAGTAACCCTAACCCGTAAAACCAATTCAACCACTAAAGAAACTTCGAAGCACAAAAAAAATGAAAATAAATTTATTCCTCTCTGAAATCGGGGAGACGGAATGACGCCGGTTGGTGAAAGCCTTCGGGATGCCAATTCCCGATGTATCTTCTCTCTCTCGATGAAAGCGAAAGTAAGGATGGGGACATAGAATGTCCGCACAATGTATGAACCCAGCAAGGCTGCCAAGATTGCAAAACAAATGAGAAGGTATGGTATGGAAGTGCTTGGAATCTGCGAAAGCAGATGGAGTAGAAGTGGACTCTCCAAACTGTCAACTGTAGAATCAATAATCTACTCCGATATTGTCACCCAGATGACAACCACGAGCACACTGAGTTCCGGAGTGGCTATCGTGATGTCCCCAAGAGCATCGAAGGCCCTCATGCAGTGGCAACCAATCTCCTCCAGCATCAGGATCATGACAGCAAGGTTCAACTCAAAAGGAAGGAAAGTCACAAACATACAATGCTACGAACCTACAAATAAAGCAGAGCAAGAGAAAAAGGAGGAATTCTACAGACAACTGCAATCAGCACTAGACAAGACCCCACTCCAGTTGGCGACACCAAAATTCTAATGGATGGTGTGACATGAATGCCAAACTGGGAGCGGACAACACAGGAAGAGAACTGATCATACGTCGAGAAGCACTCGGTGAAATGAATGAGAATGGAGGACTGTTTGCAGACTTCTGCGCATTCAACGATTCGGTGATTGGAGACAGTGTGTACAAACACAAAGATATCCACAAAGCGACATGGATTTCACCAGATGGACACACCAAAAATCAAATCGACCGTATTACTGATGGATCTCGACGGACACATGGAAGCTGATAGAGGAGGGAGAGGAGGATAGTGAAGCAGAAGATGAACCAGTGCAAGGATGAACAGCGAAAAGAGGAACTGAACACAACCAATAAGACACTGGACAAGGAAGTGAAGAAGAGTGCGCGCAAATACAAAAGACACTTCTATGACACACTTGAAAGTGAAGAAGAACAGGTTGCAGGTAGGGGAGACAGACCTGACAACATTGTATCAAATAACCAGATTACTATCTGTGGGGGAAGAGATCAACACAGATGAAACCAATAAAAGATGATGAAGGAAATTTAATTACCAAAGAAGAGAAACAAAGGAAACGATGGGCTGACCACTTCAAAAAGCTCTTGAATCGACCACCACCTGCACTTCGTCCTGAAATACCACCAGCAGCCCAGTCGCAGAATTACCAGTGAACACAAGCCATCCAACAAAAGCAGAAGTGAAGTGTTGAATGCTACAAAGTTGCTGAAAGCCAGGAAGGCAGCAGGATTAAGCGGAATTCCGCTAGACGCCGAGAGAACAGCGGACATGCTCACACCACCATTGCAGAAGGTTTGTGAGGAAGGAAGGAAAGGTACCTACCGATTGATTGGAAGAAGGGCTACCATGTCAAACTCCCAAAGAAGGGAGACCTAAGTATTTGCAAGAACTGGCTCGGAATCATGATCCTGTCTCTGTCCACCCAGGGCAAGCAAAATATTAAGCCACATCATCCTGGAGAGATTAACAATGCTCTGCATTCAAAATTACGACAGGAACAGGCTGGCTGGCTAGGTTCATGAAGAACAAATCATGTGCGGATCAAATTGCAACACTATGCTACGCATCATCACAAGGCACAGCATAGAATGACAATCAACTCTCTACCTCAACCTCATCGATTTTGAAAAGGCCTTCGACAGCGTCGACTGAGAAGTAATTTGGCAGGCAGCTGCTTCAACACTACGGTTTCAGTGCCACAAACCTTTACCAACCTCATTCAACAGCTATATGCTATATGAGGATGCTCTATCCCAAGTGATTCACAATGGAAAGCTCGGTGACGCCTTTGAAGTGAAGACAGGAGTAAGACAAGACAAGGTTACCACCTACTATCACCGATGATCTTCCTGATTGTGGTCGACTGGACTGGATCATACAGCAAACCGTGAGGAGCGAGAAGAGGAGCATACGCTGGCCCGGGGAAAAGATCCTAGAGGATTTGGATTTCGCCGATGACTTGTGTCCAATGTCACACAGACTTGAAGATCTACATGTGAAAACTAACAAGTTGACAGAAGAGGCGAGGCAGCGAAGACGGGACTGCAAGTGAACGTAGAGAAGACAGAGGTGATGAAGACACCCAACCAGCACCACCAACGACAACAACAAGCTCCAATCACCATCAACGGAAGAAACTTAAAGGAAGTAGCCTCTTTCACCTATCTAGGCAGCACTGTTTCAACTACAGGTGGCACAGGCACAGACGAGGACGTCAAAGCCAGGCAGGATCGGAAAAGCAAGACAGGCGTTCATTAGCCTGAAACCAGTATGGAGATCTTCTGCATTCAGCATGTGGAACAAGATCGGAATTTTCAACACCAATGTCAAGTCAGTGTTTCTATGTGAAAAGCATTCCCAACAAACTACAGAGATTCATCAACAACTGCCGCCTACGCTCACTCGATACTGAAGATCAGATGGCCAGAAAGAATAAGCAACAAGGAACTCTGGCTAACAGAGAACCAACCAAGAAGCTATCATTCAAAAAATATGCAGAAGGAAGTGGAGACGGATTGGGCATACACTGGGAAGACCATTTGGGGATATCACGCCTCAGGTCAGGCCCTCGAGTGGAACCCAGATGGGAAGCGACGAGTTGGGTGACATGGAGGAGATCATGTGAGGAAGAAATGAAAGCTTGTGGGCAGTCGTGGAGGCAGGTTCAAAAGTTTGCAGAGAACAGAGTGAATTGGAGACGTGCTACTGAAGCCTTATTTTCCACTAGGAACCCAAGGGACAAATAATAGTAATAATGTTAAGGAACGAAAAAAGTTGAGACAATGTGGTAAAATTGTTTCAGATTGCAGGGATGGAGGGTTTCTGCAATATGGAAGTTGAAAAATAGTTTACATGGGATAGATCTCTTATGAATTTGTTAATCCGGAATGAGGACAAGTTAGTTGTTGCGCTAACACGTGGTTTCTCTGAACAGCTCGAAATGTTGAATCCTAATTGCTACCGCTTCTGAAATTCGACGGGTTCGGAGCTGGGTATCGTTCGGAATTTTGATTGGAACGAGGGAAATAATGGAAAATGACTAATTCGTATCCACTGTATTGTTCTTTTGAATGAAGCTTGCTGATATGGAGCTTTTAGTGGTCTTTAGCATATCCTTTGTTAACTACACTGGGGGGTGTTTGAAAAACGAACTTCATACTACATGGGCAAAACTAAAGTCTGCACAGACTAATACCTTATTACATATTTTAGTAAAAACCAATCATTGTTATTAGTCATTCAGCAGACTGAAGTCACTTAAGTAGTTTCGCACTGCTATCTTTCGCTAACGTTAACATTTTGGAAGCATGGAAACATATCAGTAGAGTAAAATCCTGTGACCATTTTTTCCGTTTCGCTCAACTTACAAGTCCTCGTATTCCTTACGAAGACTTTTCAGTTAAGTTGGAGCTGTTTCGCTTAGTCTTTCTGCATCAGCGATTGTGGTTGTATTTGGAAGGAATTACTGAGTTTTGCAGACTATTGGCTTTATTTCCCACTGCCTCGAAAGTTAACTGAATATCATCAAGCTTCTTCTGTATGTTCATTAGTACCATGTTCTAATAAATGTGAGTTATCGCTTCCGAACATGCTGAATATAAATGTAATCAAGAGTTCAAGTGACCATTTCTCGAAGCTTTTGCCAATTTGCGCCACCTATGGCGCCGCCGTGATATTCGTTTGTCTATTAAGGGTCGCGTGTACTGCACAGCAGTCCGCTCTGTTCTACTGTATGGCTGTGAAACATGGCCATTGAAAGTGGAAGACATGAGAAGGTTACAGGTATTTGACCACCATTGCCTTCGTAGTATAGGACGTATTCCGTGGTGTCACCATGTGAGTAATGCAGAAGTTAGGTGTAGAGTTTTAGGGAGAAGAGGTAAGTCAGTCGACGAGGTTGTGAACCTTCATCGACTGAGATGGTTGGGACACGTACTACGTATGCCTAGTCACCGATTGCCTCATCACACAATGTTGGCTGAGGTGGGTTCAGGCTGGAAAAAGGCCCGAGGTGGCCAGACTAAAACATGGCACCAATGTATGAAGTCTCTGACTGTTGGTTTAAGCCATGTAGGACGATGCAGACTAGGTGGTTGGGGTCCACGGGACAAGAGGAACCAGTGGTTGGAGACCCTAGGTGATATGGCTGAGAACCGAAGTCAGTGGCGCAGATGTATACACACATTATCCTCATCTTAACAACGCTATACCGAATCTCACTATTTTGTCACTCCTCTTTCCTTTCTTCTCGTACTTTATATTTCTTTTGACTGCATTCACTTATCTTCATCCTTCACCTCACTACCTTTTTACTTGATGTGCTGATATGAGGTGTGGCAACTCGGACCGTTACGCAGTAATGCCTGGTCCTATGTTGATAATGATGATGATGATGATGAAGCAGCTTCGAACAGGATTATAAAAAAAGATACGATAATAACAAAAGCAGCATTAGGAATGTGAGTAAAGACGTTAAAAAAAGTGATGATCAAAGTCATGTTCAAAATTTTAAAGATGTTAATTAGTATGAATTCATCTCCACTTTGATCGACTTTTAGTCATATTACTGAGGGAATTGAACCACTAATTAGTAGCAGGTATGTGATCAAAACTCTATGGGTGTAACTAACAGCCAATGACTTCACAGAATAGAGCTATCCTGATATGTTCACGTTTAACGTTCCTCCAATAGTATCTTACCGCTGCTGTTATTGCATATCGACATAAATAAGGACTCATCATGCGTACCAAGCGTTTCAGTTACCTCACCCAGACCAAACCCATAATTTCATTTTTAAAAATTAAAAATTCATACAGAACCTCAGAACTGTCCACTGAATATTGGAACTTGTTATTTCCCTTTGATAGGTTTGGATCGAATTGGCTGACTTGTATTGACATATGGGGTCCTCGATATGTCCGTAATGTTCAATAAATAGTCCGACTATTTTGAAGACACCCATGATCCGAAATCTGTAGGCTCATGTTGTACAGCCTCAATGACCATATCTGAGTTGTGATTTAGAACATATTAGACTGCTTCACAGTACGCCAGTCATTTGATAGACAGCAAACTGCATTATAACTTCCTATATACGAAAGTGTTTCGGATTTGAAGCAATCTTCTGAACTTTCTAAGATTCAGGGGGCTACGTGACATGCGGACTGTAATTGGGTGCTGAGTAACTGATGCACGGCTGTAAATTGATTAAATTATTGCTTAGAATAGCTTGTTTTTGGAGTGTAATAGTAATGCTTTTCATTTTTTAAGGCTAGTATCCTTGTTTTTGTTCCTGCAACTTGTAGGTCAGCTGACGCTATTTATTATGGTATAACAAGTCGTCGACCTGGTTTAAGCCGTCTTGCAGCGGCGCAGTATACGCAGCTGATGCTTTATGAACATGCTGACTGTGCCATGCTTCGCATGATAGAATGTTTCACAGAGTCTGCACCACAGCTTTTACTGCAGTTATATGTGATTTTAACACAACCGTATTCGACACATAAATTTAAAAGTATATTTCTCAACGAAGTGCTATAGTTGTGATATGTAGTACATTTTGTTAATCTATTCTCAGATATTGCTTTTCATTCGATTTACTTTTAAAATGTTAGTACTTTTATCCAAATTTCTGAAATGCCTTTATATTTGCATTAACATGCAAAAGAATCACAAGTTTTCTAAGTAATTAACAGAAAGTGTCAAATAATAGTTGTGACAAAAATGATGTTTAGCTTTATATTGTGTGCAGTGGATCATTTACGTCAACAGTCTTGAGTTTGGTTCCCTACTGATGGCTACTACCTTAAAATGATGGTTTGACTTGTATATCACAATGACCCAACCAGCTGTGCTGATGGAACCCTCGACCCCTTCAGGTCCTACCCTACTGGAAAGATCATTTGGATAGTTGTAAGACGAAAAGCAGTTACTTTTGTAGTGTGAATTGCTACGCTTTGATAATGTTCCTAGGGTGAAGTGGTACTACTGGCTGGCTGACCGGTGTGTGTGTGACAACTCATATAAGGTGACATAACTATAAAAGTCAAATGTCGAAAGTAGTATGATCATATTGATATGATTATGAGCAATAATTTATGCTCGAAACGTCATGAAGTGAATAATACCAGATCACTGTGTGTTATAAATCAAATAAAAAATCTAATATGGAATTAAATTCTACCACAATGCCCAAGTTTTACACCTATATTAACAACAGTAAGGTGTTTCCTGTGGGATGACCAGCAGTGCTACGCTGACGTTGCCTTCCCTTTTGGAAGATGTTAGAAAAGGTCACCTCTAAAAGAAGCACACGCCTCTTTTACTCCGTAGCACACCGGTGTTGGCGATGCAGGTTTATGTTCGTATTTTCCAAAAACAAACTAAATTCTCAAAAAGACCGTATATGACCGGCCTCAAGTAGATGTCCCTTGCGCTCTGCGGCTACGCACAAAGGCTTTTTTTCAGGTACCCTAAGAAGAACTGACCTTCCACTATGTGACCCGGCGACCGACACCTCCCATATTTCTTGACCTGAAGTTGGCATTTGACTCTGTCAACCCATTGTCACCGTTCCTGTATAACTTACTTATAGACGTACTAATAAACATAACCTTAGATAATTCTGACTTCACAGGGCTCGATCTACTCCCTGGAAGTCATCCGGTTGATTTGGAGTAGACAGAAAATATTGTCCTATTAGGTGAGGATGCTGACAAAATACAGGGTCTTCTGAACACATATATGAGTATGTTTGGTCGGCATTCGTTTCACACCCTTCAAATGCAAGATGATGCCCCAGGAAATGGTTTTCAACCACTCCCAGTTTAATGATAGGAAGTAAAGTAGTGGAATGTGTTGACCGTTCCATGTACTTATGGAACTGTATCAGCCAGAACGGGCTAGCTATTGACGAAATCTCAGCTCGGATAAAGAAGGCCCATTCGTCATTTTCCAACTTGTTTATCACTTGTGGCGCCGGCGAGATATCCGACTATTTACCAAAGGACTGCTATACTGCGCTGCAGTCCATTCTTTCCTGTTTTACGGCTGTGAGACATGGCCGTTAAATGAGAAGATATGAAGCGGTTACAGGTTTTCGATTACAGGTGTTTCCTGTTGGTATGGCTGAGAAACGGTCACAGTGGCACAGATGTATCCCCTGTTTGACGTCTTCTAAAGCCTGAATGTTTGCACTAACCGCCACCTTCAAATTGTTTATTCTTTCACACAACCTTGTCTTCTTTGATATCACTCTTTTTCTATCCACCTGTTCTTTGTATACCACTGTGGAGTGTGGCAAGATGGACCGATGCACTTGTGTGTGAGGTTCCATGTTGATTTTATCTGTCTCTGTCCATAATGTGGACAGCCAGGAAGTGTCAGTCGTCCTCACAACTCTGTCGGCACTGAATTTCCCTCAGATCATTACCAACCTTCCACATCCTTACCTTCTAATCTTCATTCAAGTCTCTTGGTCAATATTCCTACATTATCCTAAATTTCTCCCAGTTTCGCAGCTCTTGATAACAATCTAATTTCACGGAAAAGTATTCCTGTCCTTCTTAAATTGTACGTCCGACTACGTGTTAGAGCTTTCAATGTCCGGATCCTCCATCGAATCGACCAAAAGGCTTTGTGGCAAAAATTCTGGTGTCTCGCACCATGGATATGTGTTGTGTTTCTGAAAGACGCATGTAAGATGCGAGTGGGATTATTTGCTTAACCTCACTCGGCCAATATGGTGAATGCTCAGAATTTGCCCTCCGAGTTTCTAGAGATTCGATGACTAGTCCTTGTGGTCTTGTAGGTGTAGGCGTAACTTTGAGTCCTGTGACAGAAAGTGGACTGCTGGAATGGATCCCAGTTGACATTTGCCAATGCACTGTTTGCCTAGGTGTCACAGTGAGAACCAAAAAGAACAGTGAAACTCGCCGTTGTCTTTTTGGAATCTCTACTTACATATCTACTGGCTGCAGTTCGGATGAAGTAAGGGACGAAAACGGTCTGGTCTCCTACTGAAATCCAGAGGTTGAGGATTGGTTTTTGTTGCAGGTGATTTCAATGTTCGTGTGCATCAGGCAGAAAAGCACTTAGGTGGCACTTTTGGAATCGCATGTGAGCGAGCACAGGGGCGATCGCTCACTAGAAATATTCTTAGATAACTACTTACATCTGGCGAGCACAAACTTTGGACATGGAGGAAGACATTGTGTCCACCGACCTCAACTCAGCGGTGGACATGGACAGACCATATTTCTATCAGTTGTCGCTGAAGAGGGTCGGTGGGAGATTGCCACTCCTCCTGGAGTACATGTTTAGATAGTGATCACGCGCTGATTCCAATACACGCATATCTACATCTGAATGGACGCAGGAAAACTGCAGCAGCAAAACCAGACCGTTGTAAATGCTGCTTGACGATGATAATACTAAGACTGCTTTTAGCAAGGAAGTGGCTGTGTAGAACAATATCGCTCATCCGAAGAAGCTTGGTGCTATTTTTAGTCTGCTGTTAGAATAGTATTGAATCAGCCAGACTCTAGGTTCTTTAATCATCAGATGTCCTTAGTGAAGCTAGGAAACAGAAATTTCGAGGAAACTAGGTGGTACCCAGACCTGGCTTTGAGTGTATCTTCCAGACATTCACATTCTACCAGGTTATGAAACTACGGCATACTTACCGTCATCCGAGACTGAATGTATTTGTCGGTCTTTGACTCTGTTGATCCAGAAGTCTTATGGCAGTGTCTCTCACTGAATGAGATACCAACTAAGTACATCACTTTGTTGAAGGTATTGTACTCGAACATTTGTGGGCGTGCTAGCGTCTATGCTGAGTTGTGTACGTTGAGTGTTGTTCGTTAGGAATGTTTTTTGTCTAATGCTTTATTCAGCCTTATAATAAACGTACTCATGCAGGTCTTCCTCTAGTCATCTGACTCTACAAGGATTGGTCTTATGATAAGAGAACTCTTTGTACATGTAGAGTACGCAGATTACATATTCCTGTTAGCTGATGAGGTGTAGAGTCTTTTGGACACGTTGAGTGGCAAATTGAGAATGCTTGTAATGCTTTCCTTACCACCCGAATGTAAAGTGTTACTCCAAGACTGGTGTTAGCTGGTACTTTGTGCAACGGTAGGGAGTGGAGTGGTTGAGTGCATTGACTATTTCAATTATTTTGGAAGTCGTATGAACCCTGATGGATCAGTGACCGACAAGATTTCTGCACGAATTCATAAAATTCGGTTGGTTTCGGCGAAGTTATGGGGTTTATGTCGCCAGTGTGATATCTGATTGTCTAGTAGGGGTTGGATGTACTGTGTTGCAGTTGGCTGCATTTTTGAAACGTGTCCAGTTAAGGTAGATGACGTGAGAAGGCACCGTTGCCCTCATAGCACAGGTCTTGTGTCGTAGTGGCATTATGTCAGTGACATAGAAGTTAGGTGTAGAGGTTTAAGCAGATGAAGTAAGTCAGTTGGTGGTGTTTTGAACCTCCGTTTATCCAGATGTCTTGGACATGTGTCATGCATGTCTGGTTACCTTCTATCATGTCTCAGAATGTTAGGTGAAGTCGTTTCATTTTTTTATTACATGGTGCAAATTCATCGGAGGGGCGAATTGTTCTAAAGTAGTTTCAGGTTATGAAAGAGGGTAGTAGTAGTCAGACTAAACATGACATTAGTGTTGTAATTTATTTACTACTCATCTGAGCTGTATGTAGCAGGGTAGATTTTTTGGTTGGGATTTTAATGATATCAGAAGCTAGTGGTTGGAGACTTGGTTGAAGTTGCTTGGAATCGATGTCAGTGATGGTGATGTCCGTACACTGATTATCTCAATCACCATTTGAATTTCGATGTTCTCTGATTTACCCTTAGTATCTCTTTACTTCTTTCTTCGACTTTGACTTCTTTATATCTGCACTTTTGATCTTATCGCCTTTTTGCTCGATGTGATGACATGAGGTGTGACAACTTGTACCGTTATGCAGTAGTCCGAGGTTATATGTCGATCTTGTGTAGTAGTCTACGTTTCACTCTCAGCAAGCTGTTATTTTTTTATGCATGAGATGTATTGTTGCATCAATGATTGGAATTGCGTATGGATTTTTATTAACGATCACTGAATTACTAAAGGTTTTGTGTTTGTATATATTTTTGTTTTATCGTTTTTAATGCGATTCCTGTGATCGGAGCGAAAATTCAAATCAAATTTTAATTATTTTTTCAATTGACTAGCGTCTCAGCTTTTTACAGAAAATACATTTTGTTGTGCGACTTTTGAATGCGGTCAGAACTGCTCGAAACTGAGTACGGAGAGATCTGGGTTCCTCTGATGTCACGGTCCAACTGGGTATTTGTATTTTCTGCTATCTCTGTAGAAGACTAAATGTGACTTCAAGCTATTTCATGATGAGAGTGAGTATACTGAAAAGTTTCAGTTTAACTCAGGCAACAAATTTTAGAAAAATCTATTTAGGGCGATGGTGTGTAGCTTGATATAAACTGACGCATTGGTTGTTAACTGTTTTCTTAAAAAGTGTAGAATGTTTACGTTTACCTGTATATCGGATACTTGCAAATGTTCGAAATTACTGGTTGTCGTTATAGAATGTTAAAGTCCACTTTGGTTTAATTAGAATAAGATGTGTAGATGAAAAACAACATGGGTTTCAACTAGATCTCACACTTTACTCGTACGAACGTTATTTAGAAAAACAGTGATTTTTGAGTCTGCTGTGAAGTACGACACCATAAACTCCTAACAATATTCTTTCTGTTAACCCTTGAAAATGGATTGCTAAAGATGTTATCAGTAGTCTGAATATGTGAAAACACCATATCAACAACGCACTCATTATCCTTGATCAACGTCGACAGTAATGAATCGTTTAGAGAGTTTATTGAAGTATTCTCTATATCACTTTCTACTGGAAAGGTAAACATGAAAATATGTCACATTTTCTGGATGTCCTGTTAATTAACAGAGATGGTAGATTTTTTATCAAAAGTATGTATAGAAAGATTTCATCTGTGAGTCAGTTCGTATCTGCAGTTTTGTTCCCATTCAGCATAAAATAAGTCTGGTTAACTGTCCCGAAACTGGAGTCATAAGGATATAGCCTGATGTCATGCTACACAAGGAAGTAGAATGTATTCACAATAATCTATTACAAATGGGCTACCCGCATATTTTTATAAAGTGATGCATGCATGCGTAATTTCTCTCAAGAAATTCATCATGCTCCAATTCTGTTGAGATTTACCTGGTAAAGTTCCGTACCGGAGTTTGTCTACAGCCACTAGACAAACTGTCTATGCTGATAACGTCTGTTTGTCATTTTTCAACTGACGGGTCATCGTTGCGTTTCTCACCACCCAAATGCGAATGGTTGCTCCAGGATTGGTCTTCAACAGTGCCATGCCTAACAGTAGAGTGTAGTGATTGAGTGTGTCGACCACTTCATCTACCTGGGAAATAGGATCAGCCCTGTTGGCTCAGTGGCCGATGAAATCTATGCACGAACACAAAAGTCTCAGCTGGCTTTTGCCAACTTGCACCAACTATGGCGCCGCCGTGATATCCGATTGTGTATTAATGGTCGCGTGTACTGCACAGCAGTTCTCTCTGTTCTACCCTATGACTGTGAAACATTGTTATTGAAGGTGGAAGACATGAGAAGTCTGGCTTCAGGTGTTTGACCACCGTTGCCTTAGTACTATAAGCCGTATTCCGTGATGTCACCACGTGAGTAACGCAGAAGTCAGGCGTAGAGTTTTAGGGAGAAAAGGTAAGTCAGTTGACGAGGTTGTGAACCTCATCGACTGAAATGGTTGGGACATGTGTTACATATGCCTGGTCACCGATCGCCTCGTCATACAATGTTGGCCGAAGCAGGTTCAGACTGGTAAAGGGCCCGAGGCGGCCAGACCAAAACATGGCACCAATGTATGCAGTGTTTGACTGTTGGTTTTAGCCATGTGAGGCGATGCAGACTAGTCGGTTGGGGTCTGCCGGACAAGAGGAATCAGTGTTTGGAGACTCTAGGTGATGTGGTTTAGAACCGATATCAGTGGTGCAGATGTATACACACATTATCCTCATCTTAACGCTATACCGAATTTCACTATTTTCTCATTCTTCCTTTCTCTCTTTTAGTACTTTATATTTCTTTCGACTGGGTTTTCTCTTCTTTATCTTCTACTTCACTAACCTCTTATTTGATGTACTGATATGGGCTGTGGCAACTCGGACGGTTGCGCAGTAATCCTGGTCCTATGTTGATTGGTTGGATGGGTCATTGTTGCTAAGAAAAAAGACCAGCTACTCGGTTCGTCACTTCTGTGTATTACCTATTAGGTGGTTCGTACGGAGGAGACTATATTGAGCTTATTGTTAGACAGCCTAGTAAATGTGTTCCTGAGCACCTATGTTCGCTGCTAAGAAATGGTCAAGTTAAGTCAATAATGAGCTCAATTTTCTAACATTTGGTTAATTAGTCATGTAACAGACCAATCCAGTACATCCAGACTCATTTATCTGATTGCTTTAGAACTTTCGAATGGGGTTCGTATTCAAATTGTACACACAATTGAGACTATGCGAACTCCAGGAAATAACCCTAATCTTTGTTTTCAAAAAATGCTTGAGCAGCGCTCACCTTCGTCTTGGTCATCGAAAACGTAATCAATAATTTTGCCACTAGATTTTGAGCACCTTTCGCATGTTTATCATATTTTAAAATCCGAATATTCCGCTGCAGTAGCTATGGCATACTCAGCGCAACGTTTATAAAATCTTGTTTAATTTTCTAAACATGTAAGAATTATACTAAAACTTGTTTAAGGTATGTTTATCACACTTGTTTAGATTTTGGGTATCAACATGCTTCATCCTTTGATGTTATAAAACTTTTAATCCGTTTACCTTTTGGTCTATGTTGATCGTTACAATGTTTGCTATTTTCACTATTCCTATTATCACTAAGATGTATATTATTATTATTATGTTGAGAGTTATTAACCACATACCTTACAACCTAGCTATCACAGGCCTAAAAATCACCATTTTTTTGTAAAATTACATTCATAAGAGTGAAGCCGAACAAACAGATAGACGAAATCAACATAGAACGTCGACACAAATATATCGGCTCAGGTTGCCCCACTTCACAGTAGAACACAAAGAACAGATGGGTAGAATGAGAATGGTATCAAAGTAGACAATGTTGTGTGAGAGATCAAACAATCTGAAGATGAAGGTTAGTTTGAATATTCAAGTTTACAAAGGCGTCAAGAAATGAGTCCATCTGCCCCATTGTGATTGATTTCCAGCCTTTTCACCAAGATTCCTCAACCACTGATTTCTTTCGTCTTGGGAACCCCAATCAGGCAGATTACATCTCCCCAAACGGCTCGGACCAACAGTCAAGACTTTATCGACCGGTGTCACGTCTTGATTTGGCCACCCTGAACCCTGTTCTAACCTAATCCAACTTTCTGTGGCATGACACGTCGAAATAGACGGTGGCTTGGCATCCGCAGTATATGTCCAAGCCATGTCAGTCGACTACGGTTCACAACTTCGTCGACCGACTTGCCTATCTTGTCTGAGATGTAGCTGAAATCAACATTTTTCCACATATTTCTCATGGATATGATTAGTATCATTCCCTTTCATGTTGCTGCCTAATAGTTTTAATGTATAACAATCTTTCTCATTACTTTCGAAACTTCCTTCTTTTTTTAACATTTCAGTATCTGCACAATCAGTTTCATGCGTATTCTCATGGCTTTCATTGGCATGGTCGTTAACTTATTACCAATCTGCCTTGCGCAGTTCACGGATTGAGAAGGCAAATACTCGCACTACTGGTGTTGTATTATTTTTCTTCTGGAAGTTTGGGGTGCTTGCTGCACGATTATTAGCTTTAAGCATGCTTGCTGCTGTTGTCAAAGGATTTGTTTTCACTGGGGTGCTCTGTATTCATTGGTTATTGGCTTCTGGGTGGTTGATCACCAGAGGGACAACGTTCTGTTCATCCAATTCACGAGCGTGTGGAGAAATAGCTTTTGATTTTGTTTTAGGTGCAGTTTACTGTTTTGATGTTGTGAACATACATGAAGGACATAGTCGATTGTGGTACATGTATTGTTATATAATACTTGGTGCTGAAAATTTTTTGTGTGCATTACTGTGGTGGTTGACACATTCTTTTATCAATACCGGCTTATGCGTCAGCCTGTTTAATATTCAGTCAACATCTTGGGTCACTACTTTCCCTTCGTATTCTTTACCTGTTTTTGTGATATGCAGTTTTGTTCAGGAATAATAATGATGATCATCTACTATTTCACGGCCCACGCATCAGGGAAAATTCAGGTATGTCAAATAAAGTCTTAGATACTTATGAACTGCTTTAGCGCATATTTTGTATGTTCTTAAAACCGACATTTGTACTGTGTTGACCTTATGTAGTTCATCATCCCATACAGCATCACATTTTTAATTGGTTAGTTAAGCACCACTGGTAACACCGTATTGTAGTTATAAAAATGTAATCTAATTAGATACAGCTTTGTATGTTCTCTTTCTGACTGACCATTTAGTCTGGTCAACCCTGTCGTTTCATAGAAATTAACATTTAGTTTTCTAAACGGCTTTGAACTTGAAACGATGCTAACAAAACAACTGTCTACGTGCAGTTTGCTAGCTTACTCTGAAACCTGTTGGAACAGCTATCAATAGCAAGGTTGGGAAATGAATCAGTATCCATCGTCAATGCTTAAAAAATATGAGTAACGGGCATGCAACAAGTAGATACATGAGTTGCCATAGCAATTGTCAGAGAAGACTACATATTTTTTATTTATTCGCCCACATTATCTCTCTCACGATGCATCAAAGAACAAAGTAATTAAAAAACCGAAACTTAGGTCGAGCAATGCATTACGAAGTTAGTAACCTGATCATTTAACACTTTACGGCGTTGTTGTTAAATGGGCTGTGAAAATAGATATAACATTGGTGGTAATTGTACATTTAGCTAGCACAGAAATTTTTAAGATGAAATATGAAATAAAAAGCTCACTGACATCATCAACATAGAACGTCGACACAAATATATCGGCTCAGGTTGCCCCACTTCACAGTAGAACACAAAGAACAGATGGGTAGAATGAGAATGGTATCAAAGTAGACAATGTTGTGTGAGAGATCAAACAATCTGAAGATGAAGGTTAGTTTGAATATTCAAGTTTACAAAGGCGTCAAGAAATGAGTCCATCTGCCCCATTGTGATTGATTTCCAGCCTTTTCACCAAGATTCCTCAACCACTGATTTCTTTCGTCTTGGGAACCCCAATCAGGCAGATTACATCTCCCCAAACGGCTCGGACCAACAGTCAAAGACTTTATCGACCGGTGTCACGTCTTGATTTGGCCACCCTGAACCCTGTTCTAACCTAATCCAACTTTCTGTGGCATGACACGTCGAAATAGACGGTGGCTTGGCATCCGCAGTATATGTCCAAGCCATGTCAGTCGACTACGGTTCACAACTTGACTTCACGACTTGCCTTGCTTACCTTAGTACCCTTCACTTGACGTCAACATTGCCCACACAATGATTCCACCATACGCGAGCAATGCTCCGAAGACAACTATGATCGAAACCCTGCAACCACCTCATATCGTTTTTTCAACGGCCATGTTTCACAGCTGTTAAACAGGATAAAATGGACTTTAGTGCTGTATACTCATCCTTTAATAGGTAATCTCATATCTTGCAGGCGTCTCAGGGGGCAAAAGCTGGCGAATGCCAAATGGGCCTTAAGTATCCGAGTTCAGATTTCACTAGGAACCATCCCGTTCGAGCTGTTGCAACTCCCCAAGTAAGCGAAGTTTTTGACACATTCCACGATTTCACTTCCTATCATTAAACTGGTATTACTTTCAGCAGGCCAGTTCTAGAGCATCATGTTACATTTAACAGGTGTGAAATGCATGACAAACATACTCAGATTCTGCTCAACGCGTTCAGAAGACGCTGGGTTTTGTCAACGTCTTCACTAACCAGGTCAATACCGTCTGCATACTCCAAGTCAACCAGATGACCTCCTGGCAGTAAGCCAGTAGCTGTGAAGTTAGATGTACCTAAGGTTGGGTTCATTAGTACATCTGTGGCGAAGTTAAGTAGGAACGGTGACAGTGGACATCCCTGGTGGACACCACTACTTGTCGCCAATTCTGAAGACAACTCTCTATAAGCCCTGACATGGCTAGGTGAGTTCGAGTAGAGAGCTTTGACTAGCGCGATATACTTACTCGGTACTCTTTTCACAGTCAGTTACTGCCACAACACCTCACTGTCGGCAGAGTCAAATGCCGCGTTCATGTCAAGAAATATGGTCACCAGTAGGTATGCCTATGTTCCGGAACCTGTAAAAGGATTATAATCTAATCGATGAAACCCTGTCTTGGTCTGACACCTGCCTGGTTTTCTCGGGTTTGCTGTTATCGAGCTACAGTTAAGCAGCGGATAACTATGGACCTCAGTATCTTGGACACAATATCAGTCAAACCAATTTCTTTCTGCTAGTCACAGGAAGCTTACTTTCCCTTCTTATAGATTGAAGTGATAAATGAATCTCACCAATGTGACAGTACCACCTCTTATTCCCATACACTACCTAGTGACTATATCACATTAAATAGCGATTTCTTACCTCCACTTTTGAAAACTTCAACTCCTGCTGCTTTGCATCGTTTCAGGTTTGATGAAACTTTATCTACTTCAGCGATAATTAGAGGACCGATATCAATATCTCTTTCAGGTTCAGGCTAGATGTTGGGCAACTAAAGCGTTGCTGAGGCCTGGTTGAACTGTGCCTCAAAGTTTTCTTCCCAACGTTCTTGCCGCCTGCCTGCAAGATTATCAGTGTTTCATCCTTTTCAGTGATGGTTTCACTCGCCATCGTCTTCTTCTTGACGATATGCTTAATAAGCCTAAATATTTTCTGACGCTAATGCGTTTTCCATCTCTCTCGCCTTCACCAGCCACCACTGCTCGTAATCGACTTGAAGACTCTTCGTCAACTTACGTTTCAGTCGCTTTCTCTCGTCATCGTGATCAGAGCCAACTGTAATCATTTCTCTCGCATCAGTCAGTTTCGATGACGTCGCGGTGATCGATAATGTTTGCTAACCTACCGCTGCAGGTTGCCATCGATGTTCTTTTGCATTCAGTAGAGGAGATTGAACTGAAGATTGAGCATGGAAAGACAAATTTTCTAAGCGCACAAGCGTTTTAAGAAAAAATACGGATTAAAACTCCTACAGTTTTGTTTTCAATGTCTTTAACGATGAGTGGATTTCACTTCTTATTTAGAGTTGTTGCAGAAGTAGATGCTGCAAAGAAACATTTTATTTATGAGTCATATTTCTGAATCATGGTTATTGGGTATATATTCATTTATAAGATCTCA